AACTGGATACAACCCTCCAGATGTGGCCTCACCAGGGCAGAGTAGAGGGGGAGGAGAACCTCCCTCGACCTGCTGGCCACACTCTTCCTGATGCACCCCAAGATATCGTTGGCCTTCTTGGCCACAAGAGCCCGTTGCTGGCTCATGAGCAACTTGCTGTCCACCAGGACTCCCAGGTCCTTCTCCGCTGAACTGCTCTGCAGCAGGTCAACCCCCAGTCTGTATTGGTCCATGGGGTTATTCCTCCTGAGATGCAGGACCCTACACTTCATCAGGTTCCTCTCCACCCAACTCTCCAGCCTGTTCAAGTCTCGCTGAATGGCAGCGCAGCCTTCTGATGTGTCAGCCACTCCTCCCAGTATTGTATCATCAGCGAACTCGCTGAGGGTACATTCCGTCCCTTCACTGAGGTCATTGATTAATAAGTTAAACAAGACTGGACCCAGAACTGACCCCTGGGGACCATCACTAGACACAGGCCTCCAACTAGATGCTGCAGTAACACCCGTGTCTTTTTCCGGCTCAGACATTTCCATCTGATAAACTTCAGGCTAACAGCAAAAGTCACTCACCCTTAATTACACACTCTGGGATTTCTAGTACTGAACTTAATCTCATTTCTATTTCCTCAAAACACATAGTTTTCCAGTCTTCCCTCTCCACTAGTGTGGTTAGGAGGAGCTACCACCAGCACCAAATTTGCTGTCTCTAAAATACTTGATGAGAGTTGGATCAAGACCAAAACCAAACTAAATGGGTTACTTTCCAGATATAAACTTTCTCTGAAAAGACGGAAAGGAGACTAGTAATAATCTCCTTTTTGTTGATTCTATCCAGTCCTTAGAATTATCCTCATTCTGAAGGTAGTCTTTCCAGTTGGTTTTAAACTACTGTTCCACACCAAAGGTTACTGAAAAGCAGGAAAATCTAACAATTTCAGTCTTACGAAACATGTATTTTTCAAGATTACTTCCACAAAAAGGTCTGTCCTGAAGCATTTCCCTTCTTGTTTACCTTACTGCATACAATAAGAAAGTTTATCTCTGCCAAAAATATCACACAACGCAAAGTTACAAATAAAAATAAAGCTTAAATGTCAGGAGGGAAATAAGTGTTTCCTTGATCAGATGAGGTTCTGAAGTAGAGATGGCAAAAGCTAACCCCAGGGCACATGAATAAAGATGAAGTCAAGGTAATGAACAGATAGAACAATTAAATATTTGATGCATAAGAGGCAGAGGGTGGCAAAGTTGAATTGACTCGAAGGAATACCACCTTTCCTCTAAAAAGGGAGCATACTTCTCAAAATGGTAAATGGCAGACAAAAGTAAGAGACATTTAGTATTTTAGTAACCAGCTTATCTCAAACTCATACTCTGAGACTTACCAATAAGGTAAAAAGATAGATTTATCTGGAAATTGGACATTTAATTATTTGTAGATTAGTACTGTTTGTGATGTATTTCAGTGAAGTTTGATACACCTGCATTTTAAAGGTAGGTACATTTCCAGTAGGTACCACTATAAACCCAAAAATAAAGGCAGGGGTAAGAGACATTCCCACATCCCTCTCCATTCCTAATATCAGCACTAACCTCCAACAATCTCTTCTCCCAGTGATTGAGCTCAGTACCCATGCCACCTTGATTTTCAAGCTCCATTCCCTCTAGAATTGGACAATTAAAATGTTTTCGCGCTTCTTCCTACAAAAAAGACATTTCAACACAACTCTCAAAATATTGGGATGGATACCTGTATGCAGTTCTAATGTTTTAGAATTATCTTTTAAAAGTATTTCAGCATTTCTTTTTCTACCATCTTGTTTTCCTCTGAACATAAAACACTTCTACTCAGAGGCTGACTAAGCCAGCAAGTACCCCAACACCACCAAGCCTAACAATCTACTTATCTACTGGAAATAAATGATGGAAGTTTAAAAGAATAAAACAGCAACAGAATTAGCTGAGAATAGCATGCACACACTAAAGACCATACAAAAAAAAAAAAAAAAAAAAAAAGAGAACAGTGTAGGAACAGTACAGCCCTGCTTCTGTCAAATATTTCAGAGAAAAACCACTTTTCCATTAGGAAGCTGTATATGTCAACTAGTTTTGCATGGGGAAGTGTTTTCTGCAAAGTATTTAAAAATCTTAAGAGGCATCACAACAATGCTGTGGTCTCATGGTCAGGAGCCCAGCCTTTTCCAGGGTGGCACTACCTGGGAGCACCTTTAATGCTCTGAACAGTTTGACCAGCATGGCCAATTTTCAAAACAGGAGTAATTAAACCAAGTTTGCTCTATATACTCCGTTAGATTTAAAACAAACATAAAGACTATTTGTGGTCAAATATGGTTAACACTGTAACTTCTTTCCAATACCAATTTATTACAGTTAAGCATATGTTCTGTAGGGGGCGACGGGGAGAGATAGAAGCATGGGAAGCAAGAAAGATCTCCAAGAATACTTGAGGAATTTCTTTTAACCAGGACAAGATTTTAACTGCAGTATTTTTTAATCAATAATATTAAAAGCATTGCTTTAATATTTTTCTAAAGAGAAAAGTAGAAAATAGGATGAACTTATAAGTGAGAAAAGCAGTAACAACACTATCTGTTAAGGCAATGGGAATACTAGGTGTCTAAGTCTGTAGGAAAACATCTAAAGAGTAGGATTAAGGAATCTATTCAACATCAGTTCTGCTTAGCCTTTTATAATTTACTTCCCAGCCCCTTCATTGTCTCTTACTACGTCAATTTATTTATTTCATAGTGTCTGTCAACCATTTTCCACTTTACTTTGGATACACCCTCTCAATTAATGATAGAGTCTTAATTGCATAGTCTTTGGGCCATACTTTCAGGAAAAGGGTATTGAATGCTAGGTTATAAATATTTCTTATTCTTTAAGAAGTAATGACTCCAGAATGCGATGGTAACCTTGGCATACAAAGTTTAAAAGTTTAAATTAATCCACACTTACAACTACACGAGGTGTTATCAGAAGATAAACAGCATGGCGCAGCATTTTGCCACCACGTACGTCCCATAACCTCACTGCTTTATGAACGACTTTATTGCTCCACTGATATAAACCTAGGCTGTAAGAAGAATGTTTTGGTTACAAATCTTTCCCACAAATACGCGCTAATGTGCAAAGATTTATCTCCATAAGAAACTGAATCATGAATAATCTCTATACTTTCTCATGCTTTGTGAAGTTTAAACTCATTATGCAACATTTCTCCTTTGTAAGAAATGCGTTCATTATATACACAACTCTGATTTAATAAGCCAAAGTAAGATTATTAAAAATATGTCTGTAGACTCAAGACATATTTTCCAGTTACCGAAAGTGTAAAAAAGGAAGGTGAACAAAACCAAAAGCTCTCTACCCTTCCACCTCCAAAAAACCTCTAGAAAAACATTTCTATAATATCAACTAAATTAAGAAAACAAATGTAAACTGTTCATTCAATAACAAGTCAGAAAAATCATGCAGCAGACTACACACATTGTCATTTCCTCATAACCATAAACCTTGAATGATATATGTCTTAAAAATGAACTGCACTGACATTAGATAGACTACAGAAAATACAAGTCTCCATTTAGTAAGGTGTTCAGCACGCATCAAAATTTAAGCATGGGCAATTTTAATGCTTAACTTCAAGCCTCCTGATAAATGAAATCCTGCTTTAGTCTGTAATACATGTGGATAATATAAGTCCTTAATGCCAATGTAAAGAAAGACTAAAAAAACAACCACACACCAATGTTTGACCATAATAAAGGCCAAGCATTCTAATAATGTACTCAAGTTGGATTTTCAACGGCCAACAACACATCCTAAAAAGGTAACATGAAAACATCCTTCAATGGGAGTACCAAGAGGTCCAAAAAAAAAAAAACCTTTCATTAAAAGGAGGGAGTCCATCTGCATATCTTGTTGTCAAAGGTTTTCCATCATCGTCACGATAGAATGCAAACAGTCCAGCAGAGAAACCCTTCAAGTTAAAAACAAAGCAAACTGAAAGCTTTGGTAAGACATTCACAAAACAAAGTCAAATGCCATGAAAGAGTTATCAGACCCACCGCAGATACACTGGAAGTACCGCACTTTAAGGTGATTAACACACGAACTGAAGAAGGCAAAGCAAAAGCTTTCCCCCACCAAACATCCTTCTCTTGCAACAAGTTGGAGGTATGTGAGGAAGCAGGCGCAAATTTCAGAGAAACACATTTTACAACATCAACCCTTACCAGTGCATGGATGATCTCATGTTTCACTGTAGACAACATGCCAACGAATTCCTGAGCTTGAGTTGAAATCATATTTGGACACAAGTTAGCATATCCTGCTATTGGCCTGAAATACAGTTTTAAAATTAAATTGTTTTCAGTAAAATACTAGCAAATTCAAACCATATTCACCTGAAGAGGCAGAAGATTTAAAAGAAAGTGGAGGCTAATGTAAAAATAAGTCCTTTCAAACAACTTCACCAATCATTTATAAATAGTCTGTTAATAATACAGTGACTAGTTTGCTGTTGAAATGGAGAGGGATGGGATGAGATCAATCTATATATTCCGTATGCTGCACGGGTGTTAGTAACAACAGCATAAGAGATCTGAAATTTAGGTAAGACACCATAGAGGCAGAAAGTATCTGTCACAATGACTACAACCGAACTAGGAACAACAGCCACGTAAGTAAGGCCCACTTGCATTCTCCTTTAAATTTGTGAAAGTGTGACATTCACTTCAACAGAAACAGAATCTCGAGATAGAGTTTAGGCAATAACAGTGGAGGATTAGCTTTGACTTAAATGCCTCAGCTTTGCAAGTTAAGCACTATTTGATGGTTTTGCGGTTTTACGTAAATATTGTGCTTGTGTATTTCAATAATGACTTCTATTTTGCAACATTATACAACACATGCAAACAATTAAACTTCACATCTAAAAAATTAAAAAACGTGAAACTTCAATTAAAAAAAGAGTTTGTAACAGAGGATATACTTGCCTGTCCATTTCAGCTTCCAGTTGGCAGTAGGCTGCATATGCAATGATATTTTCATGGCCACACCTTTCAGTAGTGAGAGCACTAACGTAAAGTACAAAGTCAGCATCTCGAACACCTTCTTGGTCAGGTAAGCCAGTGGGTCCGCTGTGCCATTTACTGTCATTGTACACCCTGCATTGCTTTGACAATGTTCAAATGGAACAATTAAAATACTTTAGCTATGACAAAATTTTGCACGACAAAATTCAATTAGCTTGAAGTCAAGAGTAAGTCCCATTGTAAGACAGCGGAAGATGGGAAAACTCCCTATGAAGACAGTAAACAAAACTAGAGCCAAGGAATAACTTTCAAATTACTAGTTCTTTTGATTTATTAGACACCAGGAAGGTGGCAGCTTTTAGAAAAACAGGGCCTGCCAAGTTCGATACCCCCAAATTAGCAGCCTTTATTTCCTAGAAATTAAAAAAAAAAATTTTGGCTCACAGAAATAGCATACATAAGTACCAACTGCATTTCACAAGTAACCTGGTACATTTTTAATAGTGTAGTTGAAACTTCAAGCTAAGAGAACAAAAGAAATCTACTGATCACATACTATAGTTAAATCAAAAAGTCATGCAAGAAAACAAGTTAGAAACATTTCCTGTACCATGCTCGTGGTTCAGTGGGTAATCTCTTCAAATAAGGTCTTCAAAAAATCAAAACTCATTACTAATTCTGTGAAAATCTGACTCTTCGACCAAGGTTAATAATGAAGTGACTAGTAGCCATTTAACAAGCTCTGAATCTCAGCTTCTCTGTACAGTTCATTATAACACAGGCTTAGGGAACAGTAAACAGCCCAGTTTTACTTGACTTTCGGTTCAACAGCATAAGCTAAAGAAACTTCCTCTAATTCAAGTTGTTCTATTCTGTCACTCAAACTCAGTGATCTCCCGCAAACAGGTCACTTATGCACAGTTAATGATAATAACTTTTTTATTAATGTCTACAACCAATAATGTTTCAAAGGTTAAGAAGCCCTTGGATGGCCTAGCTTACCTGGAGGTGTTTCTCTGGAACTATAACTGGCCCACATCTTGTATGGTCTGCGCAGGCTCCTTGGCAGTATCTATGAGGGTCAGCTTTCCTCCTTAAATATTGGTTTGTTGTACACTGCCTTCAATCAAACATGAAAGACAGTCAGCACTGTTTTATTATTAAAACGAAACTGTAGAATAATCTTACAGCAGCCAACAACACTGTAATACAGGTATTTAATGTAACTTCCATGGTGAAAATTGTTAGTTACCCTACTCTGGCAGACAGAAGGCTTCCAGTTGCTGATGGAGTATCCAGAGGTTCAAAAAGAGATCAGGAACAGGTTCATAAATGGGGGTACATATAAAAGGAAACAGGCAGCATGTATACCCTTTAACATTTCTGATACAACGAATGCAGATGTTGATCACAGAAGGTTGGTAGATTCATGTATGCTCCCTAAATAGCATCTCCTACCACCACTGGGTCAGATGGGTCACTGGTCTGATTCAGGAGGGCATTTCTTACATTCTTATTCTATTGTTATTTTAAAGGCTATACAACGCAATGCTAAATATCAAATATAGCAAGTGATTTTCAACGAACTTTCACGTACCTGCTTAGTAATATAGTACCCGTGGATTTGCGCACTTGAAATGTCTTCTCCAAATAAGATATAGCTTGTGGAAAAAGTTTGTTCTGAATAGAACAAAAATAAAAGTCACTCAGTAGCAGTGCAGGCATAGCTCACCTTAAAAGCATTAACTATCAAGTTACATGAAACTTGCTAGATGCTGTGGTATAGCAGAATAGGAGAAATCCAGACTTCCTAAGAAGTTCAATTGTTATAAATACATTCAGGAAATATTTTGTTTCAGTATTCCCTTATTTTGCTATTGGGATGACAAAATGAAAAGGGAACCAGTATTAATTTGAACACACAGCTTCAAAGAGGCTTTAAAAACTACGTACATATTGCTCACTGAAACCTTTGCACATTGGGATATAGGCAAACACCTGTCAAACAACATTCAACAGAACACTGTAAGTATTTGGAATGGAGGCATAATCTGTACACAAAGCCTTGGTTTCCCAGACCAGATGATATGAAATTGCTGGTACTCAAAGCCTTTAATTAAATTGGTTTTAAACTTAACTTCATCCATGTAATAAAATATGTACAAACAAAAAGAGGAAGCAAATATGACATACCTTTATAAGGTGTCTTTTCTCAGGTAGCAAACTATATTTAAAAGACAAAACAATCAAAGCTTTAGTTAATAGAATTTCTATTCTCAGATGAGGAGAAAAAGAAAAGTTGCCACAACATCATACTCACTCCTCAACACTTCTGTCATATATAATCTTAATTCTTAGCTGTTGATCCACATTTCTCTTCAAGACGTGATTTTCCTTAAGAGGAACTTGATAGACAACCTGGCAGGGAGAGG